AATGTCCACTACCGTACTGTAGGTTAACATAGACGAGCTCCACCACGTTCAGCTGCGAGCCTTGTCGGAGTTTCTATCCTAACTCGCCCCATTCCGTCGGTTTATAACTGAACAAAAAATACTTTATCACGGTTCTACCAACTGTGTATAAATTCATAAAGGCCAGGCTTATACAGTATCGTGCGTCCAATGCACACTGCGCCCCATGATAAGCTTACAATAAAACTGCTCTTCTCATGAACCTCACAGAATTGGCTGTGGGTTGACTCAATCGTATGATGGTAAATTTGAGAGTAATTCGAAATCTCGCGCTAGTCATTTTATATGACCGGCTGGCAACGGATTTACGCTTTATGCAAATTTAGTAACAATACAATCACCTTTTTGTCAATGACTAACAACTTGTTATTCACTAAGTGGATTAGCATATTATTTAAATATTAGGGCAACACGCATATGGTAGGGAAAAATATAAGTTCTAATGTGACAATCACCGTCCTCATTATCATTATCAAATGTCATCATCTCGTCTTCATTGCCACTACTATTACTATCACCACACTTAAGAAATATGACATCATGTCCATTATAGGCAAATAGCAGATCTGTCACAGAAAATGTTATCCTCTAAATCTTTCCCTGTAACCTGAATCATGTCTGCTCTGAGAGACGTCTATAATAATAACCTAATAATAACAGTCAGTGTACACTATTATTATAGAGGATGACTCCGCATATTACGCCTATATAATATTGAGCTTCCAAATTGATCTCTCATCGTTCATAACTCTTATTCAATCATTACAATAAGCTAGGCCTGTAACAACCGATAATGTAAAAACGACGCATAATGTAAAAAAAAAAAAAGGTTAACGCATAATGTAAACAGGTTTGACGCTTAATGTAAAAAAGATTTTAAAAATTGACTGACCATAATAATAATAATAATAATAATAAGCATTTCTCTTCTTATAACCAAAAGAAAAAGCACATTAGATATTTATTGGATTGGTGTTTTTTATTTATGAGTATCGTGAAATATAAAAATTATGCAAATTATACACGTGATGCAATATGCTATATTTAAAAATAGGCCTACAAATTAATGAATACCATAGAGTTTCGAGTAACATAGGCCCTACTGCTGGTACAATTTTAAATTTACTTATTTGTCCAACCCAAAAAATTTTATAGATATTTAATTGTTATTTTATATTAGGCCTATACTTCTTAAATATTTTAAAAATCATCTAAAATTACGAAAATTAAAATCCAGGCGCCGCCACTGCTCGCTGGAAGGTACAGCCAGATACAATAGTTCAATGTCACAATAATACATTGCTTTATTAGATGTTTGTATAGATCGGAGTCCCTGGCTCGGGGGCCCAGGTTCAAGATGTTGAACCTGCGGTAGTTACTGGCGAGAGAAGGTAAGTATGGGCAGGGAACAGTTAAATTAACTGTTTCCTGGGTATAGGTAAGGAGTGGGCCGGATGTTCCGTTACGTTTTGTGGGGTCCAGACAGCTATGATTGTTTTAGGAAGCTCCGGAGTTTTAACAATTTCAATATCTTTTCTTCCACGGAACAGGAGATCCCCTACATACAATTTCAACTGCGCCATTTTGTTTTTGTTTTTGTTGGGGTTTTTTTTTTTTTGTAATGAAAGCTCATACTAATTTTTTGAGGGAATGTTATCTCCTGATCTATTGCACCAATACTCCATGCTCCTAATGTTGGACTTGGAATCAAAATTAATAATTCATCATAATTATTCGGCTATAGTACGTCGCCCTCTGTAGATCTAATTCTTCAGCTACTGGCTACAGTAACTTACCTTTCTTATCGCTTTTTTTTTACAGTTGGTAATGAGTGGACGGACATTCTCAATGCAATGGCCAACAATACCAAATATGTATTGATGGGGTTCATATACGTATTCGTAATTTCAGGTCTTGTTTTTGAGTACATGTCTTCAAGAAAATTGTAAGTATTACCAAGTAAGGTGGTCTATTTTAGTAGGTGTAGGCCCCTATTTTAGTAGTTCTAGGCCCCTATTTTAGTAGTTCAATCCATGCACTGTAATGCATAGGCCTATTTTAATACACTACTTAGATAGGCTTTTCTTTTTCAATCTTAATTTCAGAGGTCAAAAACATTTTTCAATTTTTTTTTCAATCATATAGTGGTGTAGACTAGTCGTTTAAGAACATTTTGCTGGAAAATTTTTTTTGGATACGACGCCCCGTTATGGAATTATGATTTTTTAAATACGAAGTGTCTATGCTTACGCCGAGTCGTAAGCATTAATCATAGGCTATGCTTACGCCGATCTATTTGAAGGGCGCCGCTTGCTTCGTGAGTACGAAAACGTCCTATTGAGCATGTGCAAATACACTTTGCGTCTCGGTGGCACTTTCACAAGCTATGAAAAATTGTCAGCTGTATCGAATTGGGAGAAAGAAAACCACATAAAAATTTATATAAACGATCTTCACGTAGCATCGATTCTGCCAAAAAACGTGCACCTAAAAGAAACTTCAAACCCGAATTAAAATTCTATTCAATCGATTACGCCTGCATAGTTAATATTGCCGTAGTAAGGCATGTTTATAAACTCCTACCTTTTCAAGTGCTAATTATTGCCATGAGACCTTGAATGAGCTGATTAGGGGAGATCTTATCTCACCATGTTAATAATCAGAGCTAAGTTAGTACAGCCCATATTTCGTGGTACAGTTGTTGCACATCGAATCATTTAGTTAGTAGAGAAAAAGAAAGTTATTTTTTAAGAGAGTTTCCTTTNNNGATATGGAGTACTTGAGTAAAGTGAATTAAGGCAGCTAAATAGGCAAGTGCTACAGAAACTAGGTAAGCTAGAATTGGGTCCTCGTGTGGGAATGTACTAATATGTCTGCCTCAGTTCATGACGATGCCTGTTCCTTTGGAAAACTGTGGACTAGACAAAGCTCATGCCTCGACAACGTGGAATAGTAAGCAGATCAACGAGTAATAGATCGGCGTAAGCATAGCCTCGAAAAAATGCTTACGCCAGCCCTGCGCATGCTCAATAGATCGGCGTAAGCATAGCCTATGACTAATGCTTACGACTCGGCGTAAGCATAGACACTTCGTTTTAAATAACATGATGTCACCAGTACGTCATTAGACGAGTAGGGGATAGACAATCATCCCCCAGAAAGTTGGAGATATAGGGTACCGGTTAACCGGGTAGTACATACACCTTTGGGGGTAAAACACTAAACGAGCTAGTTCACACATCAAATGCTATGATCATCTTGTTTGACGGATACCGGCGCTATACAAAAAATCAATGTACACTATTTTGTTGTTATTGCTTACAACCGTTCTTGTGTACCTTTCGAAATATCCTGACGTCAAGCTCCTTAATCAATCTCTAATTAACGATGCGGAGACGACGTCTGTATTTCTTACCGATCTAATTCTTTCTAATGACCCAATATGGTATCTCGCATCCAAGTGTTGAATGAAACGATTCTGTTTATAATTATTAATAACGAATCTGGTATAATTCTTTCAAGAAACCGAGAAAGACTACTGAACGTTTCATAGTAGTAGAGGCTAAATATGGTTTAACCTTAAACAAACTCTAATAAAAGGACTTTTTGTATATTCTTGTACGTCTATACGTAAATAATTTTGGAAAAATTTTTGCCGCCTTTTTATAGTTGCGTTGACCAGATATTCAGGGTCAAGGGTCAATGACCTTTATATAACATGTTCTGGGTCATAAGTCTTTAACCACTTGCTCTAAAAGCACAAAAATAGTATTTACACCTGGGTTTTAGGGGTCAACAATTATGGAAACAT